AATTACAGTATGTTACAAGTCTTTGAACATTTTATCGTCGAAATAAAATTAGCCAATTTGTTACACAAACAAGGGGAATTCCGGTTTCATTATGTGATAAGGTGCACTGTTACATAAGAAAAAATTTTTTTTTGCAGTTTTCTTTCAAAAAATCTACTTTTAGGTTAAACTTTTCTTATTATATATGATAAATTTGATACTTCAATCAATAACTCTTTGTAAACAAAAATTCTACAATTAGCGGTGTCACTATATTAAAAAAATGATTACCCAACGTTATTATGTAACACAAGTATCCTTGGATCATGATTTTCTTTTCCTGAAAATCTCACGTTTTTGTCGGAAAATTGATTATTGGCCAGAGATGGGGGTGACCGCGTCCGTCGAGTAGAACATTATTACGTTTCAAAAAATCATTTGTACATTACGGTTACATGTTTAAATGGTTAGATCCATTCGTTTAGAATTTTTTTAAAAATAAAAGTGCCTCAACTGATTGATTTCTATTTACGGTTCACCTTTTTTAAGTCACACTGCTTCATACATCCATTTAGATTGTAAGAACCTTTTTTTTTATCAATTACCTTGCATATTTACTTAAAGCCTCCTTTCCTTTCCGGTATATATAATATTTTATTTTTTTATTTTTCACTAAAATGATCGAACCTGATGCCCCACGTTTTATTACATCACATCTTTTTTTTTAAAAAACCAAAAAATCTAATAATTCTGGTCAAATTAATGGGTTTAACAGTTAATGGTTAACCGGTAAAACTTCCGTTCTTGCTATCTACAGGATACCCTTATACGTACGTAGTAATCACCGCCTGTCGATTATCATTTTGCCGTTGATAATTTTTTTTTCTAAAAAATTTTATTTTAATTAAACTTTTGCAATTAACCTATTATGAATGGTCTACAACAGGTATTCCACAACATTTAAATGAATTTTTAATTAAATTTGGGTCAAGTGATTCCCACGCGACTTTTACCCATTCAGCTCGTTTTGAATATGACGGTCTTTTAATACGATTTGAGGGTTTAGTTTCATGAATTTCCTCTACCCTCCATTGATTTTATAGTGCACAGACCTTTTAAATTAATTTTATATAAAATAAAAATAAAATAAAATAAAATATAAAATAAAAATTGTCTACACCTTTAATAAGTGCTAAATTTGTATTTTTATAGCAAGTTAATTTTTAACTCAATTTGCACAAAATGAATCAAAATTAAAAGGGAACGTGGATTATAATGAAGATCGTTTAGTCCAAATATTTTCAATCCACCATACCTTTTCAACTGCATGAATAAATATTCCTTAAGGAAAGTTTTCAGTATATTTTTTAATTTGAAAATAAAAATGACTGAAAGTAATTTTGTTTCATCAGCATGCACCAACAACTACAATAAATATTTTTTCACTACCTGTAGTTTTAATGAGCATCGCGTTTTTCAACCAGCTGTTGATGCTGCTATTTGTCAGGTTTTTTCATTAATTTATCTAATTCATTGTTATTACATTAATTGAAATTTGCATAAGATTCTTAGTAAATTGTTAGGCAACAATTATTAAGAGGTTTTTACAGCATTTTATAATTGCCACAATTATATTTTTGAAGAAGTTTTCAATAATAATTTAAAGATCTTATAAGAGATTATCCTAATGCAAAAACATACATAGAAAATTTTTATAAAACAAAATCATATTAGGTCTATTATTTCACAAAATTTAAATTTACCAGAGAGAAGATAGTTGAATCTGTAAATGCTTGCTTGAAAAAATTGTTACACAACTTTAATTTATTTTTGTGTAACATTATAATTGAAATTCTAAAACTTTTTGATTTATAAGATAAGAAAAATATATATAAATTTTGGTGTTTATCTATTCCTAGTATATAAAATCAAAGTAATACAAACTTTTTATTTGCTAAAATTAACAAATCCCTCTAATAATATCTTACACTTATAATGTTAAAAAGGTATTATAATGGTAAAATAAATCAATCATTATATTATATGACAAATTTGATAGAACTTAATGATAGAAGAATTAATATTAATAGATAATATTAATGAAATAGCAGATATTGAACTTTTTCAAATAACTTTAAAACAAATAGTTCAATTTATTAGTTATATAATATTAAAGAAATATATAGTCATTTATTAGAAATACAAAATTGAATATATATATATTATAACTAATATATTCCTATTATAATATGTTTCATACTTAAAGAAGTAAAATATTTGATTTTTAACTAGAGAAAAAAGAATAATTATTTATATTTTAGATAGCCTTTATATAAGATAATAATGCTTAACTTTAATCATAAATTAATAAATTTTATTATTTTATTAAATTAATAATATATAAATTATGAATTATTTATTAAAAATAAAATTGTAAGACCATGCAACTTCAATTTTTCAGTTAATATAACATTAAAATTTAAAAATAATCTGAAGATCCAGAGTTTATTAATGAAAATTTTTTATTAATAAAAAAAGTTTATATATAAATATTATGCTATCTGATTAGTTAATCTTTAAGGGATAAGACTATACAAAATAAATTTTGACTTGGCTGTGTCAGTTTACGAAAATTCAGAATTTTTTTTATTGTAAAATTTTTATCATATGATTTTACATAATAAAATCAGTATATCAGATTTTGTTTAAAAGAAAGCAAATTTACATAGATTTATCTTTATTTGTGATATGAAAAAGAAAAAAAATTCCCTAGGGTAACTATATCAAGTTTAAAATTTTATCTAAAAATTAAAAATTTTTCTTTATCCAGCTTAATCATATAACAATTATAATTAATTTCAAAATCATTTTAATTTTATTAAAATTTCTATTATATATATAAATATAAGTTACAATTCTAAAGTTTTAAAGGATTAGAAAGGTTTACCTGTTGAAAATAAAAGATTTTTTGAAAATATATTGATTTTATATTTATCATCTGATTGGTAGAAAGCAGATTTGAAGTGAAGTTTAGCCATCAAAAACATTAATAGGAGAAAAAATTTCAGCACAATATATTTAATTGGAAAGTTACATGAAACTAATAAGTTGTAAGAAAGAAATAATACATAATGATAATACAATTTACCAATAAAATTACACTTAATAGTCATATGATTAAGAAGAATATTATAATAAATAAAATTTTATATAGAATAAATTGGAAATTAAAAGTTTACTATAAGCCAAAATTTCTTATAATAGGATTTTATTATAATGAGCTTTGACTGTATATATATTTTTAAAATTCTAATAAAATATAATATATAATATTATTCTTAAAAATTCAAATTAATCTGAACTATATCAGAATAAGTTGAATCTGAATTATATTACAATTAAGTTAGATAAATCTAAATTCTATAAATATTAACAGATTTAAATATGAATATAATCCAACTTGATTCTTACAAATTATTAGTTATAGAAGTAATAATAATAGAATTAAGCCTTTTATAATACTTTAAAAAAATCTTTATTTTATTAACTTAATATTATAAAAAGATTGCTTATTTTAGATTTATCAAAATATATAAATCTTAGTTTCTAATATAATTTTATTAAATTTCATTGCAGATCAATGATGATCGATTACATAAGAACGTGACTTTATGCGCAGAAACGTGCGAAATTTTTAAAATTTCGCTTATAATTTAACATTGCATAATAAAGTTTTACTATGCAGTCACTTTTGTACAATGAACCTTTTAAATTTCACGGCTGGAACGAATCTAACGTTTTGTAAAATGGTAGACAAAATTCATTATATATAACATGAAGCCGACTTTCATAAAGTTTGTACTAAAAAAAAATTGATAAAAAGGTCTTTATACTCCTAATACAATTGTTGAGACTTCTTCCTTTGCGAAATAACTAGATTCCGACAATATACTGTATGTCAATTTCTTGAATAAAATAATAACGATGTAAGTCGATAATGTTGCATGGGCGTCAGGTTCGATCATCTCCAAATTTAGTAGGCTCAGATTTTAACATATACCGAAAAGGGAAATGAATGAAAAGAAAGCAAAATAGGCGTTATTATTATTATTTACAAAATTCTTCAAGATAAGAGATATGCAGGTGATGCACACTTTAATAATGGTGAAACTAATTGTTAAAAAATCTCTCAATATAAGTGGATGATTTAAGAAGCATGAAGCAATCTGACTAAAAAAGGTGATCATAAAAGAAAATTACCTAACAATGAAAGATCAGCTAAGGCTCTTTTTTAAAAAAATCCTAAACGAATAAAAGAATGGACTAACCATCTAAACATCTAACCGTTATATGTGTACAGATTTTGAAACGTAATCATTTTCTTCTCGACGCGTAATCGGCTTGGTCACTCCGTCTCTAACCAATAATAAATTTTCCGACAAAAACGTGAGAAACTATAAAGTGCCAACATAATACTACCAACAAAGTGATCATTAAATGAAAAAAAAATCATGATGATTTTTGTCCAAGAATTACTAAGAGATGTGTTACAGAATAGCATTGGGTAGTCATCTTTTTTAGTATAATAAAAGCCACCGGTACTAATATTAGAATAAATAAAACTGCAAACTCACAAGAAACAATGATTGAGATGCCAAATATGTCATCTATAAAAGAAAAATTTAACCTAAAAGTAGAGCTTTTGTAAGTAAATGCAGATTTTTTTTTTCCTATGTAGCAGGACTCCTTATCACAGAATGAAACAGGAATTCCCTTTGTTTGAAGAATTTTTTTTTTTAGAAATGTGTGAATGAGGTTTTCTCATACAGTTTAATTTATTGGTTCATTAACGTGCATGACGTTTGGTTCTTTTTTTTAATATATAAATGATATTAAAATCACCTTGTTGTCAGGATCCTATAATTCTTACCTTTTATCAGTTTTTTTTTTTCATCATTCGGTGATTTTCTATTGAAAAAATAATATTTAAAATACAAAAAATAAAACATATAATAATAAAAATGTCAAGCTTTACTTATTGTTTAGAAAAATCCACTCTTCTTTATCTCGAGAGTGAAATTAAAATAAATATTTTTAAATATGTTGATACGCCGCTAAACCTTTCGTTAACCTGCAAGGCATGGAATAACATTGCAAAAGATCCCTACGCCAAAGCCGAGTGGTTAATACATAATTACGGAAAGACTTATGCATTATTTCATGGAATTAGGTTGGGCCCAACTTTTATAAACGAGAACGTTTGTAAAACCTTAATATCAAGAAATGTCGCATTTTCAAGACATTTGGTTCAAAGAGTATTAATGAATTATGGAAGACAAGATCCAGCATTGACCGAACTAAGAATCAAATACAATATAATACAACCTGACTCGAATAAGATTCGCAGGGACCAAAAACAAATTAAAGATCCATGGGCGAGCGATTTGCCCTTGAGCGTGTTTATTTTTATATTACAAGAAGGAGCTTCTCGATTTTCAGAAATATTTCCTATTAAGGGGAACGACATGGAATTGTTCCATTTTATTTCAGCAGGTACTCTTGTGATCAGTTATGCTTCACATGAGTTGAAAAGAAATTACGACATGATAAAACATTTGATCTTAAAGGATAAGTTCGTCCCATTACCATACAGACCAAGCAAATATAAATTAAGTTATGACATTGACCCTCACAACACGACGGTGGTTCCGGAAGAATATCCATCAAAGGATGGTTTTGAAAACAATAGACAGCTCAATGCAATTGCAAGAGCTATACTACTTGACGCAAGCTTGGTTCATTTATGGAAAGAAACTGGTTACACAGAGATATGTGATGATACCAATGATCTTTTCATGTCAGGAGCATTACTCATCCTTTTTCCTCCATCCTCACCATCCGGATGGTTTTGTCCTACTCCTGAAGATGTAACGAACCGCCTTACCAAGCTCATCGAACTAGGGTTTAAACTCACGGATAAGACCATAGTGGACACCCTACAAATGTATGAAAATCAGTTGGATGATTACGGGAACTTATTTTGGAATGTTTTCACCACAATTCGAAGTGGGGAATCAAGTGTTTCATTTGTTTCAGGCCTTTTTAAAGAGGCT